GTCAAATTAAAAATTTTAGTTTGGCAAACTTGACTTTCAAATACAAACGTCAAACTTTTATAGGCAATTGTCATTCATTTGCGACGGGCGACTGCTGATTTAGCCGTCACCTGAAACATTCTGTAGAAGGATTACCAATAATTCAGTGTTGCCAATCGATTTTTTGTCACAAACATTTATAGTCATCCGGTATAATTAAGTGTAGTTTTAGTTCGTCGGTTTTTATCATTTATTTTACTCTTAGAACTCATGAAGAACTTTTCAACACTATTAAAAAAAGGAACTGGTTTTTGATGAAAATTTCAAGAAAAAATTAAAAAAAACACAATAGGACCATTTTTTTTATTTATTTAGGAAATTAAAAACCAAAAATGCCGAAAATAATTTCAATTTTGCAAATAAAGTAATTCAAAAATTATGTAAAAATTGTTAATGGAACAAAAAAAAATTAATAATTTACATAATTATAGTTATTAGTATTACAAGGGAGAAAAGTGTATTTTCACCTCCCACAGAGCTAAATGGCGACTTTCTTTTCTGAAATTAAGATGGAAAAACTTACTTTTTACCAGTCATAGGAAAAATAATTTTTATTTCTTTATAAACTATATCGTTATAATAATAAAACAGGATTTGTTGGGATATTTATTTATTTTTTCGTTAAAAATTCCGAAAAATACAATTTTGTCAAATGTATATTAATTCAGTTATACAGGGTGGTAAAATATTTAAAGAGGTAACAGTATGGACCAAAATAAACAAAAAAGTTTTACAAGTTACTGTTTCGGAGATATCGAATTTGAAAATTTTTAGAATTTTTACTAGAAACTTCTCTTTTTTCTTTGAATAGATTGCAAATAAATGTTCCAAAAAACATATAATTTTTGATATCTCCGAAACTTTTTCTTTACTACTATTATCTCCTGAAATATTTTACTTTTTTGAATACCCTGTATAAAACTGGAAAAAATTTACTTGTCCAGAAATATAATATTAATTTAAAACTCGAAAGTTTTTATTTTTTTAATTGTTTAGAATTGTTTTTACCATAAATTTTTAGTTGCACTAAGTTTTTAGAAGGATTACCAATAATTCAGCGTTGCCAATCGATTTTTTGTCACAAACATTAATAGTCACCCGATATAATTAAGTGTAACATTAATCATAAATTTTTAGTCGGTTTTTATCATTTATTGTGCTCTTAGAACTAATGAAGGATTTTTCAATACTATTAAAAAAGAAACTGATTTTTGATGAAAAATTCAAGAAAAAATTAAAAACCACAATATATGTTCAATTTTTTTATTTATTTAGAAAATTAAAACCAAAAAATGCCGAAAATAATTTCATTTTTGCAAATAAAGTCATTCCAAAATTATGTAAAAATTGTTAACGGAACAAAAAAATTATAAAAAATATGAAGAGGACAAATTAATAATTTAAATAATTTGAGTTATTAGTATTACAAGGGAGGAAAGTGTATCTTTATCTCCCAGAGAGCTAATTGGCCACTTTCCTTTCCGAAATTCGGGTGGAAAAATTTACTTTCTAGTAGAATCGTAGGAAAAATAATTTTTATTTCTTTATAAATTATATTATAACAATGAAACAGGATTTGTTGGGGTAATTTTTATATTTACAATTTTTTTTTTCAGTTCCGAATTCCAAAAAATCACAATTTTGTGATCCGATTGTGACAAAAATATATTTGATTCAATAAAATTTTGTAAACTGTTTATTAATTCAGTTATTAAACTGGAAAGAAATTACTTGGCGAGAATGTTATATTTCTAATCACAAATTTTTAGTTGACCTAGTTGGTCTGTTTTTATCACATTTTTTACTTTTTTCTATGAAAAAACTGTTTTTTGATGAAGATTTCAAATAAAAAAATCCTGACTTKTTTAATAGTTTAAATTTTTTTACAAAAATATTTACATTTTCGTTTGAATATAAAAATCAAAGATGTCGAAACTAATTTCGATGTTATTTTTGCGTCGCAACAGTGTTGTTAAGAAGTTTTTAGAACATAAAATAAAAGATTGGGAATTTCTTTTTTGTAATTTTATGAATTAACTAATTATAATTATCAAAAAACTAGTAAACAATTAAAATACTTTTTTTAAAGTGATTAATTTGAAAAATGGAAAAAAATGGGTGCACCCATGTAGTCGGCGCCCATGGTACCCACAATCTGGGCCAAGTATTAGTCAAGATGTTGCAACCATCTGAACCATCCAAATATGACATTTAAAATTTTTTTCCGATCATAAAATTTCTCGATTATATAACATTTTGGCGTGCCGATCCACTTCTCCATGGTATATAAACCAACACCAAACACTTGTCACCATCAAACCCACCACCATGGTACTCAAGGTAAAACTCCATCACAAATGATCATTTTTCTCTAGTGATTTTTAGTTTGTTTTGCTCGCTGTGTTGGTAGCCGTGGCGAAAGCCGGTGTTGCCCCCGTTGAGGACTACGACCCTAATCCACAATACGCCTATGGATACGACGTCCAAGATGGCCTCACTGGGGACTCCAAGAGCCAAAGAGAGCATCGTGTTGGGGATGTCGTCCAGGGGAGTTATTCGGTGATTGACCCAGATGGTACAAAACGGACTGTGGAATATACCGCTGATCCAGTCCATGGGTTCAATGCGGTGGTACATAGAGAACCCATTGCTGTCCCCGTGGCTAAAGTAGCCCCAGCGTACCACTAATTTATTGTTATTTTTGTACAAAAATCACACACCATTAAAATATTTTTCTAATAAGACGACAGTTTCATTAAAAAAAAAGAAGAAAAGAACAACAAAAAATTAACAATTTT